AAGATATTTTTCTTTTGGGGATATTAGGTAAGAAGGATTTGAAGACTGAAATGGAATTTAACTGTTTGTAAAGATAGATACAATATATATTTGGAAAAACATAGCTGCTAAACAATACCTGTAAAAATTTTTAACTTTAGGATGTTCAATAAAAGCTATTGGAAGGTTGACGGGTCAATGAGAAGTTAGGTCTTATTGCTGTCTTTTAAGGTTTGACTAGATCATGCCTGGGACAAGCAGGACTTTTGAGCCAGTTGTCAGCTGTTTTATAGTAATTTGGAAACTGTCCAATTTTATTTGGAGTTGACTAATTAGCTTATGATTCTATAAGTTTTTATACAATTGGGTTCTTGATATTGACTTAATTGTCAGATTTTGCTGGTTTATTTATTCTGCATGTTGCTGTACTTTCCCCCTTTGTTTGTGAGTGCCATTGCTCATGGGTCATGAGTGAAGTGGGCTGGTGGAGTGAGCACAAAGGGAGTGACTTCCGAGAATGCTGCTAACAGTGTCCAGTTGAAGTGTTCATGGCACTTTCTGCTAGGTACACCTTTGATTTCTATGGGTCTGACCTGAATTAGGGGGTCAGGCCTCTACCATCTGGAATGAGAGGACAAGTGAGTTCTGGTGAAATACAGGGGCCTTATCCAAAGAAGTAGTAAAAGTGTGAGTTTGATTTTTAAGAACTTACGGAATACAAGTTTGTTGGGTTTTGAATTTTCTATTTAACACTAAGGTAGTGTTAAGGTAGAAAATGCTTAGGTAGCATTTAACAATGTCACAATATAAAGCCAAGCATATTTACTAAGGCCTTATTTTTTTCAGGTTTTTTTAAGAAAATAGTTGAGACTATCATTTGAAAACCAAACTGGCCAGTTATTGTCGTAGAGTGTAGCTCCCTAGCAAATTAAAGTTTCCCAGAAGTGAGTGTATGGATCCAAATGAAATGGGCTGGCCAGTGGGAAATGCACCTCCTGGTTAGGTGGAGGAATCATTTAATTTAACAGGACTTGTTATTTTTCCTTTTTGTAGCTGATTCATCCGTGAACTTGCATTTCTATGAGGTGAGGTGGGCCCCTCTAAGGCTCTTTATTTACCCACCGCTAAGGACTGTACTGGCCTCACTCAAAGTGACGGCTGTTCTCCCTGAGGAATAAGACATTCTCCCTGCTGCTCCCACAGGGGACCGCTTCCCTAGTGACCTAGAAGCAGCTCCACTGGCCAACCCTGACGCCCACTGGAACTAGAGCAATGGAGCCTTGAGCAGCCTGGCCCTCGGGTGTAACCGCTGTCCCTCAGCCCAGTTCAGGTGTTTCCTGGGCCACTTGCAGGGACCCTGCTGTGCCTCAGTGCCCTCACAGTGCTGTCTGCTCTCCGACCAGTGTGCTTGGACGCTACCTAGAAGAATTTCCCAGCTTTGGCTTCCTTGATTTTTTTAAACCTGAACAATGAGAAATAAAACAGAGAAAAGCACAATTCATAGACAGTTACCCCCAAAGAATTATGCAACTGTGAGATGATACCTCTGATAAAATTTTTGAAAAAGGTTCTTCTAACTTCTGTTGTTTTGCCTTATTGTTTGTTTGTTTTTGAATGCAGATTGGCAATGTTAGAAAAAGCTGTGAAAATCCTAGCCCATGGATTGTAGAGCAGAGGAAATGATCAGATCACTCTGACAATTAGCCTGTAAGAAAGGCATTGTTACTACTGGGAGACAATTCTCCATGGGGTCTCATGTTTCTGCCTATCTGTGAGAGAGGCACTAACTACTCTTTTGTCCTAGACCATCTTTTCAAGAAAGCTGGATAGTAAATGACCTTGGAAGGTAGCAATAGTGTCTCTCTCCAGATCAGAAGGCAGATTTGCTTGTTACTCAGTATAATAACGACAATGTCTCCTTTCAGGGCAAAAGGAAGGCTTGCTTGTAGCTCCTTGTAAAAGAATGAGTTCCCCCAGCTCAGGGTCCTCAGCTTGACGCAACCACTGCGCATGCAGCAGCTAGCTTGGTCCGTCAGCATCAAGCTGGAGGGAGATGGGGTGCAGGGAACTGGTGAAATATGGTGCTTGTGCGTCTTTCTGCCTGCGCTCTGAGTCCCACAGTCCTTTGTCTCTGATCTAGGAGTCTCTTGTCTTCTGTCAGCATCCATGATACTGCAGCTGACTAGCTTGTTAGCTTGCACGCTGGGTAAAATCTCGGCTCCTTCAGAGTTCTTGTCAATTACTCTAATACTGCAGAAATATAGAAAGCCTTCTCTCATAAAAATTAGTGGAGAAAGCACTGAAATTCACTGATGAGACATACATATTTAATATACAGAGCTGATCATTTGTATTTTAGTTTTATCACACCATATGAATTACTGGATTTTTCCAAATATCTGTGACCCCTTATACTATTATCTATAAACATCCACCCCCAATAAAAAGGCTTTTATCTGGCTGAGTTCTATCTAGTGTAAGAACAATTTGTGATTTGTTAGCTGAATGTCTACCAGTAGTTTTCTGCAAGCTAAGAAAAAATATAAATGCTTTCTATCTATTTATCTGTATATGAAATACCTTCTCAATAGTCCAGCCAACTCAGCTATTTTGGAGGAATTACTTTATGTTATGAATGAGGATTTTTTTCATGTCTGCAAAAAGCAGTCGTAGCCAGCTAGCTTAATGTATTTCATAAGGGTCGGTCATGTCCTTCAAACTTTTTGTTTTAGTGGTCAGGAATTGTTTTAAATCTTTCTCTCAATATCCTTGAACTGGCCTCTGAAGGACTGGATTTGTAGCATTTCGAAAGATTGAGTGAAAAGGATGGCATCCCATGTGTTCAGAAAAAAAAGAAAAATCAGTCAGTGTGATTTCCCTGCTGCCCCAGGGAAGGACCTGGGCTCGTGGGCAGGACTCTCTGGACATGCCCGACCCTGGGCCCCACTGCACACATTGGACATCCATCTATTCTAGCAGGACTCCGTGGGTTGAGCACTGCGGGTAGGAGGGTTGGCTACTATGCCACTCCCCAGGTAGGGTAGGTTCCAGTTCTAGCAATTATACCATCTGGGATTGGTTAGAAATTTGTAATGAAGAACAGCCTGGACTCTAAAGCCCTGGCTTTGGGACACTTCTCTTTAAAATGGCGCACTCCAGATTTTTGGAAAATATCATATTTTGCCTGAGATGTGGCATTATTTTCAGGTACAGTAAGCGAGGTCTGCTATGGCTGTAGTTTTCTGAGAAATAGAGTTTACTCACTTTGCCACTGAAGTTGATGTAACTCAAAGGTTCTCACAGTGTGGTTCCCAGAGCAGTGGTAACATCACCTGGCAACTTGTTAGAAATGCAAATCCTTGACCCCACCCCAGAGTTTAGAAGATCTGGGTGGAGCTTAGCAGTCTCTATTTTAACAACCCAGTGCCCCCCACCCCAGGTGGTTCTGAGGCACACTGGAGTTTGAGATGCACCGGTGTTATTCACAGTATGATGTGTCAGAGGAGAGTGAAGTGAGTAAGATTATAAGTAGGGAAAGAATAAATTAAGTGGTGCTGTCAAATATATAAGGTGACAACAATAGCATTCAGTAAATAAATCTAATGTTCTAAGAACTATATCAGATGGCTTTCCTCTGCCAGGCACAGTTAGGATACAGGTATGGATCGGGCATTCCACAAACATCTCAGGTTGGACAAACTATGGCCTGCAGGCAAGACCCAACTTGTCACACATTTTTGTAAATAAAGTTTTATTAGGACATAGTCACACCTATCAATTTGCATTTTGTCTATGGCTGCTTTGGGGCTATAATACTTAGTCGAGAAGTGTGACAAAGACCATATAGCCCACAAAACTGAAAGCATTTAATGTTTAAGATCTGGCACTTTACATAAAAGTTTGTTGATGCCAGGTCTAATGTTTAAAGGGAAAATACTTTCTACCTTCCAGGTGATTATACACAAATGGAGTTAGGAGTAGTGTCGTGTGCAGGGCTGCTTCTATCCTCCGGTAATATATTTGTATAGGTTTTTTGCAGTAGCAGGACATTTAGCTTTACAGATGTTGGTGTCAGGGAAGGCTGTTTGACAAAAAGAGAAATTACTGGCCAAATGCCTTGCTGTAATGGGAAGAAGAGATGTGAAAACAAATATAGAAATTAGAAAAGAAAGAAATGAAGAAAAATAAGAACAGATTTTTTTTGGTTGAGAAGGGAGAATATTATCAATAAAAACGTGACCTATACACAAAGCTAAATAAAGGAATGCATCATAGGATGTGGCTCGGGAAAGGAAGTAAGAGGGAGAGAGGGATGGGATTCAGACAGTCCCAGCTGCCTGGCGTGGGGTTTGTGGGGTGACCTGAGTGCCCAGGGAAGCCTGGGGTGCTGAGGGGAGGCAGGGAAGGGGCGGGCTGCACATGGGGCTGGGAGAGCCACAGTCCGCTGTCGTCCTGTGTGTCCACCAGACATCCGTGTGTACTGCGTGCTTATTTACAGTCAGGCTCCTTAGATTCCTTGCACTGCTAAATGGTCAGCCACGCAGTGGCGCTGGAGAAAAAGCACCGGCTTTCCCTTTGGGAAGCTTGGGTTACTTCCTGGCTTCATCTTATTGTTTGACCACAGGCAAATCATTTCGTGGCTCCAGGCCTCCCTTTCTTCATTTGTGAGATCTGTTTTCCGCTTCCTCCTGCAATCCACACTCTGTTACTCTCCTAGACTCTCTTGTTATCCAGAGGCGTCGCTGCACTAGGAGCACGGGGTGCTTCCCCAGCTCCGGGCTTACCGAGCAAAGGCAGGGCTGCCCGTACGGACACTGGACCCTCCGCAAAGGGCGTCGGGGACCAGTTTGCCACAGGGGCCTTCTATCCCTCACAACATCTGACACTGACTTATTTCTGTCCCACAGCCAATAACAGATTTCTTCTCTTGCCCAAAGAGATGGTTTACTGTCGAAATGTTTAGAGAAGGAAAAATGGGAAGCTGGGATCCATGTGTGTGATCATATTTCTCATTCTTTCAGGAATTTTTCTTTAAATGTGGAGCACACCCAACCTCCAACAAGGAGACGTCAGTAGCTTTGAACCTGATCACAACAAATAGTCGAGACATCACTTGCATAACGTGCACGGATGTCAGGTAAGGATCTGAACACCGTGTCCCTCTCCTCTTCTTGTGCTCCTGGTACTGTCTTCCCTTGTGAACCTTCCTCGGCGACCTCTCTCTCCTGGGGAGTGTCTGCTTCATCTTGATGCTGTCCACCCAATTTGGGTATATTTTAATGTGATGAAACTATGTAAAATGCCAATTATTGAGTCAGTAGTCAAATAGGGTCCTAAGATATGTAAGATGACATCTAAAAATAGTCGTCTTAGCCAATACTAAAATGTAAACTCATGTATTTGAGTATAAGATGTAAATTCATCCAGATCAGTGAGTTCTAAAATAAAATTAAAATGTGATGCTAACATTAGGAATAGAATAACAATTTATGAGCACCATTTATTCTTGGACCATGTAGCCCATGCATTTTATTTTCGAAATGTCTTTTCCATACAATTCAGTTCTTCTACATATTGCCTATATTTATGTTGGGGTTTCAGACACACTCATACATCCAAAATGAAAGCATGTAGCTAGTTTTGGACATGGTTATTTCTAACCTCAGTGAATAAAAGGACAGAAAGAAAATGTGGAGATATTCTGTCAGGGAAAAAGGGAAAATTCCTAGATTTGAATTATAGCTTAAAAGCCTAGGACAAAGTAGAAGAAACTGTCTATTTAATCTGCAGAGTAGACAGTTGAGAGTAGAATTTTGTAGTCTATACTATACAAATGAGAAGAGCAAAAGAAATCAGCTTCATTACATATTCTGTAAGGTCGGCTAAGAGGCTTAAATTGTAATAGTGGAGACTTAGCCCTCATATCAGAAAGAACTTTTTAGTGAAATGCCAAAATGAATTAATGAATAAAGTCAAAGAATCTTTGGTTTCAGACTTTTAAGCAAAAACGGTTACATACCCTAGCCATTTTAAGTGTCGTCTCTCTTTCAAGACTATTCTAGATGCCCTTTTAAAGTTGCTTTAAATTCTGATTTCGTGGTTAGTAGGTATTAATAATCCTAACACGGTATTTCTAGTCTTTAATAAATTTAAATTAAAATGTTGACTAATAGAAGCCTAAAAGCCTTAACAACATCTGTTGAACAAACCTGTTTCCAACAAGGAATAAAAATGAGACATGTTTTTCTTTTTGCTGAGTGTTTAGTCACTGCTGTGGCAGGAAGCAGCACAATATTGCTTTTAAAATGCAGCATTTCAACCTCCCTTGGCAAGGTGAATGACTGCGTATGGCGAATGCTTTCAACATGCAAGAACAGCTAAGATGATGCTTTTGGTATTTCAGGAAAGGAATTGGAAAATGCTAAAAATGAGAACGCAACTGCTCTGATAGCAGTAGATAATTAAAATCACTTTTCAGTTTCTCAAAGGAAAAATTCAAAACAGTTTTATGTAAGTCAGAATGCAGCCCACCAGTCAGTATTTTAAACCTTCCATTAAAGTTGATAAAGATGACATTAAAATATGTGGTGATGATCATATTATCTCACCGTGAGCAATGCCCTGCCTGTTCCCTGCTGCTAAGCTGTCAGTTTTATATTAATAACTGGCAACATCTTTTGAAGAAAATGAGCCAACTCTCAGATACACAGGGAGATAATTGCTGGAAAAATAATATTGTTGCAGTAAAATTTTTCATATTATTACTTTTGGGAGATTTTATAACTAGAAGCTACTATTTTCCATTAAATTTAAGTGTGTGTGTGTATAACCAACCACTTGATTGAATAAGTTCCCTTGTTGTGCAAGGTGGCAGAGGAATGCCCTACATGTACGTAAGAGAAAAGGACTCCTTCTTCTTACTTTGGTGGGTCCGTGCATAAAAATGTCATGAAAGCCTGCACAAGGACACTCCAGTACTCTACATTGTATTTTTGGTGATCCTTCTGGGTTTTTTCCTCATACTTTATTTTTTGATTCAGAAATGATTCACAATAAACTAGAAAAATGTTAGAAATTATTTTTACCTTTATGGTAATTAAAATTTTGGCTTAATTCTTTCCAGTATCTTAATATACCTAAATATTTGCATGTGCACATATGTGCAGTATGTAATTATACTGTATGTCTAATTTTATATCTTTTTCCATTATCATGACATCGTAATAGATTTTCTCTGCTATGAACTATTCCATGAAAACAATTTTCTTCAAATGGATACCTAAGATTCTGTCATCTGGGAATATTCTCTTTAACCTTTCCTGTTGTTGATCATTTAAATTATTTCTAGTTTTTTAAAAAATAGCTAACATTGAAATCCATATTCTTTCACAGAAATCATTGACTTCATGCTTTGAATCTAAGAACAGTCATAGAAACGGAAATAGGTTAATAGTAATGGACATTTTTAAGGTTCTCGACGTATATTGCCAAAGTTTTTCTGGGAACACACTGTACCGTCTTGTATTCTGACTGCCCATAATTGAGAGGGCTACCTCATGCATCCTCTCCAGCATTGAATGTGTTCATAATTTTAGTCTTTGCCCATTTGATACAGGAGATTATTTTTATCATTAGTTTTTGGGTTTTTTTCCATTGTTATTTGTGAGTTTGAGCATTTCTCATTTGCTTATTTGCCTTTTTTTTATTGTGAGAGAACAATACAAAACTTTCTCAGTACAAAAGATTTAGGAAGAGTCTATAAAACAAATCTGGTCTCAGTAATTACTTTCTCATTCATCAGCAATTACTTTCTCTTTCACTATTCATAATATCAGTGTGTTCTTTATTAATATAAGGTTTACTGACTTTTGAATTTACATTGAAATATATTCCTTTGGTCTTTATTTTAAAATAGTATATCTTCCTGGAGGTATATCAAATTCACAATGAATTACAGATTTGAAAATAAAGGTTTTTGGTTTCTATTTATATTTTCTGATCATTTTACTTTTATGTATATAAATCATACATCATTAATCAAGTTAGATATAATTAACCATATAATAGATAAAAATTGGAGGATAGTGTTAATTTATCTATAAACACCTTTTCTGTGCACTCCTTATTGTACTAATGCAAGGTAATAATTTTATTTGTTTTTGTGTTTTACACACATATACTTTTGTATAAGAAGAGATTGGTATCTCTTTTGTCTACCTTTTGAATAATAATTCAAGGAGCCTCAGTGCCACACAGCTAACTTTTTGGCCTTAAGAGAATAGCATAATCTCTTTGACCTTCAGTTTCCATATAAAATCCAGGAATTTAAGGAGGCCATCTCCATGGCTCTGGCTCATTCTGTGGACTGCAAAAGGAAGGATCACACTTGTTCACAGCTTGTAAGTCAATCAGGCCAGCTCAGAAAACGCTTGCTTGTGGTCCATCTGCTGACAAACGTTGAAGTCGAAGGTGAGGTTTTCAATGATGCTGCTTATCAAATCACACGTAGTTATAATACATAGGAAGATATATAAGATAGATGTGCTATTCATTGCCAGTTTTTAGGCTTAAAATATAATTCAGGTACACAATTTGTGTCCTTTGAGTTTACATTCAAGATAAATATTTCCCTCTCTCTTAAACAAAAAAGTGAACTATTTGGGAACCAGAACATCCTGAGGTTTTATGTGAACCTGAAGGTTCCCTTCTGGAATCAAGTCTGTTCTCTCCTCTACTTATCAACAGTAGTGGTTTGATCTCCATCTATTCAAGGGTATCTGTTGGTAGTCTGAAGTTTATGAATAAAAACATAATGAGTTCAATAAAAAGCAAGAGCTTGAGCCAAGCACAGAAAGTATAACATTTGCAGGCAGAACAGCTATATTGGCTGTATTGGTTAATATATCCAATTCAACAAAAGGTTCGAAACATTCCTGGATACCTCAGTTTGACTCAGGAATAACAATATTAAGTCATATAAAAATGACATGGGCAAAGCCAAAGACATACTTGAATTCTTCTTTCCCTAACTAGTGTGTAATATGTTGGGGCTCATCCCCTGTCAGTGTCCCCCAAGTGAAAACAGTATTTCTGCTCCTTGAATCTCACTGTACAACATTATTCTTTTAAAAATTTTAAAATGTAAAATTTGAAAACATATAAAAAATTATTACCTTGATATTATTTGGCAAAAAGGAAAAAATCATCCCTACTCTTTCCCTGCTTTGCTCCTTATAAGGCTGCCTAGTACATCTTTGTACCTCTTTCCAACTTTATTCATCGTTCCTCAATTTCCAAAGCTGAAGACAAACTGAAAAATAACCATGTTTGCATGGTCAAAGTTTAACCTTCCAGACACATTCTTTAAAACCCAGGTCCCAGCAGGGCATTAAATCTAAGAAGTGGTTCTACCGTGTAGTTTCCCTCAACTCTTCCAATAAAGACATGTTTTTGATATCATTGTTGTTTGATATAAATGGCTTTATAATTTTCCTGCCTTCAAATCTGTCTTAAAATAAAATTCATTCAGCTTATTGAAGCAATGCAGCCATGGATTGCAGACTTAAAAGATTCACTTGGGCCTGGAGATTAGCAAAGATTTATCTCAAAGTCCATTTGTACTTGCTCCTGGTGTTCCTGGGGGAGAGTGATTTAAGCATCATTTGACGGTATTTTGATATGCATTCATTCATTTAACAAAAAGAGATATGAAATGGGGATCTTAGTCACGTTTGTTCCTTTTGAATGCAGTTGTTATGTCTTAAGCTTCTTTTGTCAATTTACATTTTAATTTTGGTTACAGTTGGCATTTCTTTGTGATTAATAATTACTATATGAATTTTTTTATCCATCTAATTTTTTAGGCATTACTAATGGTTATCTTCTATCAACTTAATCCTTTCTTAGCATTTTGGGAGATGGGACCTGATAGTTTTACCCAGTCATCAGGCTCTGAGGAGCACAGTCAGAAACTCAGATATGCTCATGTAGAATTTAACTGGAATCTTTAGCATGGCCTTTAACAGTAAGTGGCTTTATATCTATAATAGAAAATTGTTGGAAGCGTTTGTGTGTTGCGGCTCTAGAGAACCAATTGTGCACTCAGAGCTATCTATTTCTCGTGTTGAACCCACGTAG